TCCTGCATGCTGATCATCAGTTAGGTCTCCACTTTTCCATCGTATTCATTTGCCTTGTCCTGGTCTTGGTCTTCGAGCTACCTCATCGTCGGTGATGTGGGGAGACCTGCAATCGAATAACAGCTATAAAGCTTCAGCGTAATTAGTATTCCCGAACACCACTTAACCGTAAAGGACAAATATCCCAGCCACCCAAAAGCTATGAACTACGAAGGTTGTGCTGGAGGTGGAGCCTGATAAGAGCTGTCAAATCCTGTTCTGGTTTTCAACCAAGCTTCAATTTTCTGAATGAGGAGCACAAGAAGCTCACTAAATACGGATAAACTCAATGGCTTCAGTTGTGAAGATAGCTGGACATTAACCTCACAAACTGTTGAATAGGTTTAAATTGTTGCAAAATGTTTTTTTCAGAAGGCAAGTGGCAAAAATGAATGTCAGAGTTTGCCCCTTCTTGGTGTCTGTCAAGGTCTTGTTTTGGAGAGCAACCACACAGGAACTCCATTTATTGCTGCAACTACTCGTTTTGCCATGCGCGCTCAACCCGCTCCATAGTCGTCGATATGTAGCACCTTATGAACACCGTTTCCTCCGTCTTTGCATTTCCTCGGGATTGCCGCAGTTGGTTTGTGTCGGTGGTTTCATCAATTTGCCCCAATAGGGGTAGGGTGTTTTGAGAAAGGGTGAAAAACGATAAGCACTTAATTTGAGTCAGACTTTTCGAAATATTCCGCGAGAACTGTTCCCACCATTAAAATACGAGACGACAGTTGTGACAAGGAGTTAAAGGTAAAAAAAACATTCAAATGTCAAGGCGGTAAGTCGAATGTTAGTTTCTGTATTTCAGTCACGTTACGAGTTAGAACTCGTTAAGGGGACGGTATGACCGATTGATTGTAGGCCAGCGTGCAGCACTTGACTTGATGAAAACCACACCCGGCTGGGCGGGGCGAGCTCATAGTTATTAAGTCTGAATAAAGAGGATGATAAAAATCAAGAATTCGGTCAGCCACATGCCCCTTATAATAACCTGTCTATCCCAATTCCCATATAATCTTTCACCTACGTAAGTTATTAATTAATATCTAGCCGTTTACAACCGGAATTTCGAATTGTGGGGCCTTAAGCTTGCCGGTAAGCATCCCAAGCTGCGAATGATCCGTGTTTCGTACACACATCGCTTATGTCTATCTCTTGAAGTCAGAAGAAGGCCGAGTGCTGGTCTCCACGCCCTTATCAACCCGCGGGTTCATAATCTGAATAGGTATCTACCGTCCTTAGTTGCCTTCACATGCACGTTTCAATAGACTTGCGCCTAATCATAAATAGTTGAAAGAGACGAGGAATAGCTTTTGAGTTCTGCACCAAGTAGCTCTAGGACCTATGAAAGCATCCTCTGCACTGTCTTCTTTTCAAATGCCTAATCGATATTTACATGTGGTCAGACGTGTCCAATGAGCTTTAACTCGCACTCATCCGCGCATGTAGTTGGTTGCGTCAGTATGGTCTTACTGAAATCATAGATGGGGGCGGCGGAGAGCCGACTCTTTCGAAAGCACAAAACTGTATCAACTGCACACAGACGCTATTTTCATCCCCCCGCTCCAGCAAATCGTTCTGTGTCCCTGGCCAACCCTGTCCCCACCGATATTACCGCCATATTCGCAGCTCGGGCCAGCCTAAATGATAATCATCTGCTCACAGTGACCGAACGACAGACGCGTCCTTCACACCTCTCCAGGGACGATGTCTTGTCCGGAGACGAAATCCACAGCGAAAATGACGATATTCCCCTCAAGGACACCATCCCAGCCGGAGGGCATCAACTACTCTGCGACCAACCCCAGCACGCAGACTGGTTTTCAAAAGAGTCCGAGACCTTGCGAGAAAATCTACACAATTTGGGCCTCCTTGGCAACGCTACTGACTCGTATAGCGAGGATACCGAGGCCCTAAATGGAAACGCAAATGGCGGCGAAGCTGATAAGCCCAACACGGAAGCGAACCTGGTGGGAGCAATGAGGGAGGAGGACGAAGAAGACCTCTCTTCTATCTCCTCCCTCCTTAACCTCGAGGGTGTAATTAAGAAGTGCAAGCTACGATTGAAAACTCAGGCAGAATCCTCCGCCAGCCCTAAAAAGGACTCTCTGACGAGTGATTTGGAGGCTTTGGATAAACTCGAGACGACAGCTAGTAACACGTGCCAAGTGGCCACTACAGAAGCTGTGAAGCGCCGAAACAGCAATAGTCTCGGTTTCCGCACCCTACCCGACGGCGAGGTCGTCTTCACAGCCTATCTGCCTGTTCCCGGCCAAAATGAGTTCACATGGAGTCGCCTGCGTCAGCGCTCCGAACGCAACATAAGGGGCCTGCGACAACAGTTCAACTGTGACATCAAGCTCTACGATAAGCCTGCCCGACATCGGGCCCTGCCTGTTCACAAACTGCGCATCCGCGGCGCCAACTATCGAGATGTGATGCGCTGCAAGAACGCCCTACCGGATTACATTGCCAATTCACTGATTACTTCGAAACAGCATTGTGACGATGTGCTGAGTTACGAGTTCCATAAACGGTGAGAAGCCTGGGATTATCACTCAGACACGAT